GAGCGAGACTCCGTCTCAAAAAAAAAAAAAAAAAATTAGTACTCCTGAGTTGGCACAGTATCTAAGCGGAGTGTTTTGGAAGGAGTTAAGGGGCTGTGGTAAACGCCCTCTCCGCCGTCATGGCCCGGCATCAGAATGTTCGAGGCTTTGACTACAATGAAGATTTTGAAGTTGATGATCTCTATGGCCAGTCTGTAGAGGATGATTATTGTATTTCACCATCAACAGCTGCTCAGTTTATTTATTCACGGGGTGACAAACCTTCCATTGAGCCTGTAAAAGAATATGATCATGAAGATCTGAAAGAATCTTCCAATTCTGTTTCGAACCACCAGCTCAGTGGATTTGATCAAGCTCATCTTTATTCATTCCTTGATCAAATGAGAGAAGGTACTTGGAGATGCTGTGCCAGATGAAATATTAATTGAAGCAGTTCTGAAGAACAAGTTTGATGTGCAGAAGCCTTTGTCAGGGGTTCTGGATTAGCATGCAGAATTTGAAGGACGAGAATGAGGGAACAGTATCTACAGGAAAGACAACAAAAGGTAAGGAGTCTTATTTTCTTCTTCTGAAGTTTCAGCTAATAATGTTCAAAGCTCTTATCCTCAGTCAGCAAATCATTTGGATTATCGTAGCAAACCCTTTGATTTTTCTAGCTCAGTAGGAAAATACGGATTATCTCATAATTCTTCAGTTCCAAGTCACTGTTTACTCCTTAGGAAGAAGAAACTTGACAGACTTAAAAGGGAAAAGAAACTGGAATTATGTAAGTTAACAAAAGAACTTTCACTAACTGACCTAATTCATGATATGTCAAGAGATTCCTGTGACAGTCAGCCATCAGTCAGATTATCATCTACAGTCTGCAAAGTCTACTTTCAAAGAACCTAGATGCTGATCTGTTGAGACTTCATGCATCCGAATGTGTTTCCAAAGATGATTCTGCATTCAAAGAAATGCCGGATTTAAAGGCCATGATGATAAAGAGCACAACACCGAGTAATTCTTTATATATTCAAAATAATTCACTATCTGATTTTCAAAACATTCCAGTACAGGGCAGTTTAGGAAGTTCAAATAATCCTTTGTGCTTAACTAGCTCATTGGAAAATATGACTGTTGATAATTTAAATGCTAGTAAAGAAACTGAAGTTGGAAGTGTTTCTTTAGTTGAACAAAGTGCCAAGAATTACATTTTTTAAAATGATAATTTGCAGTTTTCTCAGTGTGAAAAGTCCATTCCTAACTGAACTGTTTCGGGAACACAAAGAAACCAATATAAGCCAGTGCTTTACTTTGTCTGACCTTTGTAACCAGTCATCTGCCAGTTTCACAGATCTAAGTTTGGGATCCTTTCGCCTGTCACAATTAGCAAATCACTGTCAGTCTTCACCCGGAATATCAGAATTAACAGGATCTCTGTTGTCACTGGCATTTCCTAAAGCTTCTCACAAGAGACCTTGAGAATTTGTCACTTTCTGAATTGATTGCAGAAACGATTGATGTATACAACTCTCAGATTAAGAAAGAGTCCTTTGAAGTCAGTTTATCTGAAGAGAGGTCTCCTGGAATAGATTCAAATATTGATCTCAGTGTCCTTATAAAAAACCCAGATTTTGTTTCAAAGCGTATAGTAGACCAATCCATTGCTCCATCGTCACGAACTGAAGTTCTAAGTTCAAAGCTAGGGAAGAATTCCAATTTTGCTAAGGATAATAAGAAAAACAATAAGGCTGTCTGACTAGGAAACCACCTTTTTCTCTGTCTTAGACCAAGGCCCTTGCTGCTAGAAGTTTAGCTTTTCCCTCAACACTGTGTCTTTGTCACCCACTGAAAAGCTGCAAGTGACGCACCCTTGACTTCTGTAAGACTTTTCTTTATGGTAGACAAGTTCAAGATGTAAAGGACAAAGAAATAAGTCCTCTTGTAGTGATAACACCATTGACTTCAAATCAGTATCACCTGATGATATTGTAAAAGCTAATCAAAAAAAGCATTTACTAGAGAATAGCAACAAAAGGAAAACTTGATTGCTGTTGTAGAGCTTTTTATTTTTAATTAAAGTCTTCAGAGAATCACTTTATATGATGGGATTCAAATTGTGATTTTCACCAAAGTTGTTGTAGGTCAGTTGATTAGTTGATACGTATTTTTGCACTGAATTTTTTTTAACTATGTCTTCTTTCGGTGATAACTGACTTTATTTAAGCTGGTAACCTATACTGAGTAGGTATATGTTTACAAAGTGGATATGGAAACTTGTTGTGAAATCAGACCTCAGATATTTTTGTTTGAAGCATTCCACTTCCTATGTTTTTTATGATGAAATTTTTTTTCTATGAAATGTTTTTGTGCTTTGTTCATCAATGAAAATGCCAGGACTTGGAATTATAATCGTTTAGTGTGAAGATTATTCTTATGTGGCACAGCATAGTTGAGACATTATATTTTAAAATATGGTATAATTCCTAGTTTCATTATTTTTGTGTAGATAAATACTAAAATTTTTCTATTAGAAAATCTTAAAATTCCTGACTTTTGAGAGTACTGTGAAGATTGTTGAAATACATTTTTAATGATAATAAAATGAAAATCTTTTAAGGGACCATGTAAATATAGAAGTTGGATTTTTATGTGAATTATTTTTATACATTTTTAAAAACATTTGTCCTAAATATACACTTTAAAATAAATATATAAAAAGTGTAAACAAAAAATTAGCACTCCTTTACCAGACATGGTGGGCATACATCTGTAGTCCCAGCTACTCAGAAGGCTGAGGCAGGAGGATCGCTTGGGCCCAGGAATTGAAGGCTGCAGTGAGCTATGATCATACCATTGCCCTCCAGCCTGGGTAACAGAGCAAGACACTGTCTCAAAAAAAAAAAAAAAAGAAAAAGAAAAACAGAAAAAAAAATAGCACCCCTTAGAAGAACATAATAGGATCCAAAACTCTACATATATCATACATGATATCCAGCATACAACCCCAAATTCCTAAACAGGAAGAAACAGAATAGCTTAACCATACTTAAGAGAAAAGGAAATCATGGAAACAGATCCTAAGATGACCCAGATGTTGGAATTAACAGATGAGGGTTTTAAAGTTGCTATTAATAACTAAGCTCAAGGAAGTAAAAGAAAATATGCTCATAATAAATGAAAAAAGAAAACTTCAAGAAATAAAATTCTAAAATGGAATTTCTAGAACTGCATATCAGAAATAAAATATTCACCAGATGGGCTTAACAGCAGATTGGAGGTGAGAAAAGACTTGTCTAAGAAGATACTCAAAGTCTCATCTGGCCAACCTTGTGTATCCAGCCACCATTGGATTTCTTTCTGAGAGCCAAGGGAATTTTCCATTGCAGCACCATAGCTGAGGCACTAGGTGAGGGTGGTGGTTGGAATTTGACAGAAAGAAAGAGTCATAGATGAATTATTTCAGTAAAGTGTAGCAGAACACATAACTTATTTGTGAAGATATCACAATAATAGGTTTTAAGCCCTAAAAGAGATATTGGAGATTTTTCATTTCCAGCCAAATGGTGCCAATTCATCAGGCAGTCCTGGGCATAGAAGGACTATGACTTTATCCCTCTCTGCCAGGATAAACTTGGGGAGAACAGGGCACCCCAGACCTTCCCACTCTTGCTGGCAAAGCAGTGGAAGCAAACGCCTGCCCCTTCACTCTCCTAAGACTTGAATATTCTCTCTGTCCAGAGCTGCTGCGCCATTAGCTGGCCAGGGCCAGGAGTGGCCTGGCTGAAAGAAGGGCTGAATCAGAGAGGCCAGTCGATCCCATTCCTCCAGAGGGTTCTTCCCTGGTCTTCACAGACCCCACACCTTCACCCCCTGGGCCATGTTTCTGCACTATCCTGTCCAAAGATCCATGGAGCCCCCTCTAGTACAACCCCAGAGTTTACCTATCACAGAGGACAGCCAAGACCGCTGCTGGTCCCGGGCATGCTCCCCCAGGAAGGCAGGTCTTCAGGCTGCTTGTCTCTCTGGGGTTCCTTCCAAGGACACAGCACTACTCCCCAGGGCCAAGGCTTTCCCTAGGATCCCACTGTCAAGCAAGGGATGATGTCCTCATGGATTCCTCATTCTCTATTTACATTATTATTCTCTTCTGGAGGAAAATGGGAGGGAATGAGTGTATATTGAGTACCAAGTAGGAACCACGCACTGCTTAGAGCTTCCCATGCCTTAGCTCATGGGGCTCCCAGCTGGAGATAAGGGCTCTTGTTCCTAATATACAGTGCAGAAACGAGCTTTAATGTGGGTCAGGCAACATCCCCAGGGCCACACGGAACCTCCTGGTGGGACTGGGCCCAGACCCAGGCTTCTGTGGTCGCTGAACCTGCTCACATGCTTGTGGAACTCAGCCACTGCCCAGCCAAAGTCCTTTTTTTCTTTTCTTTTCTTGTTGATAAATAGAAAGTAGGCCTCACTTTGTTGCCCAGGCTGATCTTGAACTCCTGGCCTAAGTGATCCGTCCGCCTCAACCTCCTAAAGTGCTGGGATTACAGGCATGAGCCACCATGCCTGGCCCCAACCAGAGACATTTCTACCAGCAGTGTCACAAGAACACCTGCATCTTCTAGAACCAAATATTGAACTCCTGAGCACCATTTTCTCATACTTTGACCATGGAACTTCCCCTTCTTCTTTTCCTCTGTGCCCCACTCTAACCTCCGCAGTTCTGGAATTGGGTCTCCCACTGGCTGCACTGGGAGGAGGGACCGTGTCTACTTCATCACCACATTACCTGAAACACCTGGCAGGCGCTGAGTTAGTATCACTGAATAAATACATGTTTCACAGGCCCCAGTCCTGATTGATTGGCACCTAGCACCCAGCTTGTAAAGCCAACACCAACTGCATCCCAACCCATCAGAAAAGACCAGTGCTGTCAACTGGACCTGACTCACTGAGCCCATGCACACGGTCACGGCCGGTGTGAGTGAGGCCTTGACATGCGTCTCTCTGACTGACAGGGAAGGAGAGGCTTGCTGCTTGCCTTGGAGTTCCTGTTCAGGAAGCTGCCCAGTTTTTGGAGAGTTTTTTGCAGAAGTACAAGAAAATCAAGGACTTTGCCCGAGCAGCTATTGCCCAGTGTCACCGGACAGGTGAGTTGGCCACAACCAGAGCTTCCTGCTCCCTGCCCACCCTCTGTGGGAGGATACGGGCACAGCTGGGTGGGTGGTGTGTGGGCGGGCCCTGGGTCCTGAGGTTGGTTTCGGGGCCTGGGTGAATCCTCAGCTCTTGTTGGACAAATAGGGCTGAAGCTTCCACACGAGAAGGGACAGGAGTCTGGGCGGCTTGAAGCAACACAGTGAACATACTTGAGTGACTAGATGGTGGGTGGGCAGATAGGTAAAAACAGATAGAAGCCTGCACCTGGAAAGGGAAAACATGGATTCTTGTGAAAAGCACTGGTATATTTACAAATATCACCACAATCAGGTCACAAAGGAAACCCAAATAAATTTCAAAGAATATCAAGTAGAACAAATTCTGTGACCACAGTGCAATGAAAAGGTGTTTTCACACATGTATGTCTGAGTATCTGTAGCCATCCTTCCACCTACCTATTTGGAAATTGATTATACTCCTAATAATTTAGGATTAAAAAAAGAAACCCTAAGAAAATGACAAAAAATGTTAGAAATAAATTAAAAGTAAAAGTATCTCATCAGAAACTGGGATGTGGCTAAGCTGACACCTCACTCAGAAGCAAAGGAATCTTTTAAAGGAGTATTTTTTAAAGAAAGAGAAAGTTGTGGGCATATATGAGTTGTGTTCTACACAAGAAATCTGGAAATGAGCAGCAGAGAAAAAAGGGAAGAAATTAGTGGGAGAGCAGAAATTAATGAAATAAACAGCAAAGAGGAGGATGAACGACAGACACAGGAAGAGCACTCACAGCACTCAGCAGTCACTGGGAGTGAGGAAATCAGCCGAGAGTTGGCCTCAGCAGGGCCAGCATCCTGGATGCTGTGACCTGTTGCCTCTGGGTGCTGGCAGTGTCTGTGTGCAGCCTCGTAGACCCTCTCCGTGAGCCTCTCCCAGTGACTCATTGTTGACTTTTCACTCTGGGGCCCGTGCCCAAGCCCCATGAGCTCTGGCCAGCCCTGCTACAGGCTCCTCGTTGGTCTGACAGCAGACGGGCAGGTGGGCAGCATCTGTGCCACAGCCCATGCTAGCCTGGAAGGGGGGCCTCTCCAGCACCTGAGACACAAGCTGCTTGCTCCCATGGAGCTTATAGTCCTTGGAGGACACGGTAAACCCACAAGCATCCAGACAAGGACAGGAAGGTGGCATCCAGGTGTGAGAGGAACAGAGCAGTCGCAGAGGCCCCAAGGGAGCTGTGCCAGTCTCCACCTCATGGAACGGGCGACCTGAGTGGAGACAGGAAGGGCCAGGAGGAGTGCCAGCATGGGCAGGTGGGCCAGAGAACAGGTAGGGCTGGGTAAACCCAGACCACGCATGACACTCCATGCAGAAAGAACCTGAGCTTTGTCCTTCAACAATGATTCCAGTCACGATGTGGGAAAGAGATTTGAGGTGCAGTCAAAGCCACCCCTGAGAATAATCTAGAAGCATGCAGGCATTAACACAGTAACGGAGGAGGGGCGGAGGGAGAATGGCACGTAAGAGATGTCAAGGAGGCATCAAAAGCTGGGAGCCAGCTGGGATCTCAGATGCCTCTCTGGCCACCAGCCCTCAGGGGTCAGTGCTCTCCACAGGGCACTTGGCCGCCCCGGCTGGAGCAGACTTACTCTGATGCTGGCCGTCCCAAGGCCCTGGGAGAGGCCCTGCAATGTGCTCACGTCCTTCTACATTTTGTAAACATGTCAAAAGAAAGTGTTTCAGCTACATTCGGCTAGGACTGCTGCCTCCACCGCTCTGGCTTTCTCCACCACACACCTTTCTATGCCGGGTGGCATCAGTGGGGCCACAGCCAGTTGAGCTGGCAACTCATTTAATGTGGATTTTCCTGCTGGTGCTCCTGTGGTCCCCTGCTTTCTCTGTGTGGTGTGGTGCTAGCCATCCTGGCACAAGAGTGGCTTCCAGGAGCCCTGGTGCCATGCGAGCATCACCACAAAAGGCCAGGGCACTGGCACTGGTAGCACTGGGTGGAGGAGAAATGAGGTTTGAAATGTATGGAGTCAGGAGACTTCTGCCTTAGGCCACAAGGAAGTCACTGGCTTCAGACTTTGCACCCACCATGAAGAACCAGAAAACGGGGCAAAGTACCTGGAGCAGCCGTTTCCAACACTAGCTAGTGGGTAGCGTATTGCTCTTGTATCTGAGAGAAAAGACGCCAGTGAGCTGAGTCCTGTGAACGCCGTGTGTCTGGAGGCACAGCCCGTGTGTGGAAGGGGAGCCACGCAGACTGCAGAGTGGTCTCGATGAGTGGAGGAGACATGGATCCAGGCTGGGGAGGCAGATGCAGCTGTATTTTGCAAGTCAGAGTGTCAGAGAGGAGGGAGCTAGAGAGAGAGAGAGAGCTTTGTAAATCTTCAAGGAGTCCCCCTTGTGTCTGTTTTTGAACACTAAGATACACATACATTGAGTGAAACGCTACGGGACTAAGCACAAAAACTGCTGGGAGCAGTAAGCTGGATGATTCCAGAGTTCACATGGAACGAGGAGATGTTTGAGTTCTGACCATCCAGAGCAGAGAGTCCTTGTTAGACACCTGGGACATTCAGCAGAGGCCTCAGAAGGGTCACACTTTAGAGACAGGTCTGGACTAGCCCTAGATTACAACTATTCCAAATCCACTCTGACAAAGCTTAGAAGCAAACCTCAAAAGGATCAGGATGATTGGCAAGTAACTTAAGCCTGCCAAAACACCCTCAAAAGGAAGACAGCACACCCCAGCATTCAACAACGTAAAATTCACAGTGCCCAGCGTCCGGTCAAAACTCACTAGACCGACAAAACAGCAGGAGCGGAAAGGGACCAGGTCAGAGCAGAAGCCGTCTCGGGTCCTCATGCCAGTCCCTCTCAGGAATCCTGCGTGTTGCCCGGCATGTAGTAGGTACTCAATCCCTTGTCACTTTGATTATTACAGATGTGGGAAATTCTTCTCATCCTCAGTCACAGGTGGAGGATTTATTTCCCGCCCACACCTAGTTAAGGCAGAAGTCCTCACTGGTCAGGAATATAGTCATTTTCTTAAAAAGAGCCCCCAAACCGCATACATTTCAGGCCACACAAGATTGGATCTGCCCAGTGCAGGGTGTGGACCTGACTCAGACATGCCCCTCCTTGAGGATGTGGGCTGACCCCTTTCTCCTCCATTCCACACAGTTCGGAGTTGGCCTGGGCCCAAGGCCTCCACATGACTTTGCAAAAGCTGCCCTCCCTCGTCCTATATGAGATCCAGGTGCAGCTAGAAGTCAGGAGAGTGCAGAGCTGAGTGCAGAGTGTGGCCAGGGGCAGTGGCTCCCCACTGTAATCCCAGTGCTTTGGAGGCCGAGGTGGGCGGATCACCTGAAGTCAGGAGTTCGAGGCCAGCCTGATCAACATGGTGAAACCCCGTCTCTACTAAAAATACAGAAAATTAGCTGGGCGTGGTGGCAGGCGCCTGTAATCCCAGCTACTCAGGAGGCTGCGGTAGAAGAATTGCTTGAACCCAGAAGGAGGAGGCTGCAATGAGCCAAGATCGCGCCACTACACTCCAGCCTGGGTGACAGAGTCTTACTCTGTCTCAAAAAAAAAAAAAAAAAGTGCCAGGAAGTGCCCGCGGCCAGGCAGTCAGACCCTTGCCCTTCCACACTGGGGAGCGGCCGCTTGCCCCCTGACGGAGAACGTACCCGGACTCAAGAGTGGCCCAGGGGGGAGGCTCCGGAAGTCTGCCAGCAGCAGTGTGGACCTGCTCTGCTGCCCGGGGGCCTCTGATGGACCCTGGGCCTCGGCCCAAGGGAGCTGCACCTGCTGCAGTGCCTGTTTCTGTCCCTCATCTGCTTTTGCTCTGTGTGACTCAGGCTATGTGGTATCCATCATGGGCAGAAGGAGACCCCTGCCAAGGATTCACGCTCATGACCAGCAACTCCGGGCACAAGCAGAGCGACAGGCAGTGAACTTTGTGGTGCAAGGTACGGAAGCCTCTAACCCTGTAGTTCTGTGTCCATTTTTGCTTCTTGGGTTTTAGCAGCCACAGGGCTGGTGGCACCCACTGATCACTGATGTGGTATTTCCTGCTCATCACAAACCTCCTTGCAGGAGCTTACACTACCCATGTCCTGCCTGGCAGTTACTGTCAGGGGCGTGAGGGGACACAGTCATCTTTGTAGCTAGGATGATTCCCCCAAGAGCTGGGCCCAGGCAGTACTGTTTCCCATATCTCTGCGGTGGGAAACTGAGGCTTCAAGGGTTTAGGCAGACCTGGAGCTCGGTCCTTTGGTGCTTGGCCTAGGCCCTTCCATCCTCTCCATGCATGCCTGGCAGGGGTGAGGCCTCTGGGAATAAGGCACCCAAAACCCAGGTGCCCTGCAGTAGCAAGAGGGCGGGAGGAGCAAGGATGAAGTGTCTGCCTGCAGTCGTCTGTGGCCTTGGCACTCAGACAGCTCAGAGCCAGCACCTCTGTGTGGAGGTGCCGTGAGAGCTGTGGCGACAGTGCCAAATGCTGAGTGCACCATGAACCGTGTGCCTTGGGACCTCAAGACAGCACCACGTGCCCCACAGGCTCCGCTGCTGACCTCTGCAAGCTGGCCATGATCCGTGTCTTCACTGCAGTGGCCACTTCCCGCACCTTGACAGCCAGGTCAGTGGGTGGCGGTCAGCCTGCCTGGGCCCCAGCCCTTCCCAGGGCTTGGATGGGAGGGTTAGTGTTCTGCGGGAAGACCCTCTGGGGGCTCACGATTCTGACCGCTCACCAGCTCTGCTCATCGGGCCCCCAACCCCTCCCGAGGCTCTCAGCCTGTGGCAGGCCCTGGAGGCTACCCCCAGCAGGCATGCAGACAGCAACCAGCTGTCTACCAGCATGGGGCGCAGATGAGGCCTTTCCAGACAGAAATGCTGTCTCCCCCAGACCCCTCCTCCTCAGGGTGTCTGCACAGCACAGGGGCACCCCTTGGGGCTGCCCACCCCAGAGGCAGGTGAACCCCTCAGCCCCTTGAGCAGGACCCTGGGAACTCCAAACTGTCCCCACTCCTACCTGTTGCTGCCACCAATGCCAGGCAGTGTGCCCCACGTCCAGCTCTGGCTGCAGCCCCGAGCCCAAAGCCAACGTTCAGACGTGCCTTGGTGGTGGAGGCTGCACCGTGGCTGCCCCCCAGGCCACAGCTCTCTCAGGCCTCTGTCCCTGCCTCAGTTATTCCCCCAGGGCACATACCTCAAGAGTTTCGGCAGCCAGAGGACAAGCAGCCCTCACCCAACCACCTCCTCCTTGCCAACCAAGGCCCTGGGGTTGCTGGAAATGGCCACGCAGACACCTCCTCTCCTCATTCTCCTTGTGGGGGATCCCCTCAGGAATCCCAGAGCCCCTTCTGGGAGCTGAGCCGCCTCAGCACCCCCCAGTGTTAGCCCCCAGAAGGGCCTCTGGTGCTCTGACCCACCATAGACATTTCCTACCCCCACCCTGAAGGGCCCTGAAGCTCTTGGTGCCAGTCCCATGGGGGCAGCCTCTGCAGACCAGGGTGCACCTGCCACTGCAGATGCATCCAGGAGGGGAGCCCAGGGTGGGCTGAGGCAGAGGCTTCTAGAGTATAAGATGTGGCTCAGGCCTCCCCAGTGTGCACACCCCTGACTTTGGGTTGTGGGTCCTGCCTACCCGTGGCCTCTCTTTTCCATCTCATCACAAACGTCCTTGCAGGAGCTTACACAAACCCATGTCCTGCCTACAACTTTACAACATCTGAGCTTACAACTTTCTCTTGGCTTTTGAGGTTATTTTACATTCTCAAGGCATGATTTTTTGCCTTATTAGAGATCCCTCATCTCTCTTTAAAAGTGGCCTCCTTATGTCTTCACGAACTCCCTCCTGTCACTGTGGCTTTCAAGCCTGTGCTGTTCCAGTGATTTCAGCGACTTTGTGCAGAACTGTGTCCCCAGCAATGGCCCTGCCCAGGCCAAGGTGTGACACCCAGCAATGGAGAGGAGGGGGTGGTCCCTAAGTCCACCGAACCCCAGCTGGCTCCTCCCCTTGCAGCCCCTCTGGGTACTTCCTCTGGTCCACAATCACCCAAAACCTCAGGGAAACGAAGCCCAGAAGGAGGCTGAAGCCCAGGCTGTCATCCCAGGGAGGGAGGATACCTGAGACCCCACAGGGTCTAAGCACTGCCCCAGAGGCTCTGCTTGCAGCTTCACTGGGCTGTGGGCTATCAGTGCTGCTTTCTGCAGTAACTGAAGTGGTCAGGAGGCAGGAGTGGAGCATTAGATTTACTCTCAGCTGGGCGTGGTGACTCACACCTGTAATCCCAGCACTTTGGGAGGCTGAAGCAGATGCATCACCTGAGGTCAGGAGTTTGAGAACAACTTGGCCAACATGGCAAAATGTCATCTCTGCTAAAAATACAAAAATTAGCCAGGTGTGGTGGCACACACCTGTAATCCCAGCTACTCAGGAGGTTGAGGCAGGAAGATCGCTTGAACCCAGGAGGTGGAGGTTGCAGTGAGCTGAGATCACACCACTGCACTCCAGCCTGGGTGAGAGTGAAACTCTAACAACAACAACAAAAAAGATTCACTCTCAGTCCTCTCCTGCCCCATCTCGCTGCCATCTGCATTCCTTCCCAACACACACGTGTGCATGCACACGCACACATACACGCACACACATGCACACATAAGCACATGCGCCCATACACATGCACACACATGGACACACACGTGTATTCACACACCCGTGCACACACATACATACACACTGATGCCAGCCAGCCTCTAGTGCCGCACAGTGTTCTCCTGGTGTCCTGAAATCCATGCATCCAGCTCACTTCCAGTTTCTGCAGGTAAATTATAGCTTCTCCCAGGGTATGAGCAGCTTGTGCTAGTTTTGGCAGGAACTGAAAGCCAAATGGTGGTCCTGCCTCTAAGATACTGCAAGTCTAGAAAAGTTGATTCAAGGCTGGGTGCAGTGGCTCACACCTGTAATCCCAGCACTGGGGAGGCCGAGTCGGGTGGATCACTTGAGCTCAGGAGTTTGTGACCAACATATGTGTTGCCTGGGCAACATAGTGAAACCTGTCTCTACCAAAAAAAAAAAAAAAAAAAAAAGCAAGCCATGGTGGTGCACACCTGTAGTCCCAGCTAATCAGGAGACTGAAGTGGGAGGATCACCGGAGCCTGGGAGGTCCGGGCTGCAGTGAGCCATGATCACATCACTGCACTCCAGCCTGGACAACAGGGTAAGACCTTACCTCAAAAAAAGAAAAAGTCGGTTCACTTTCAACCCTTGTGGAATTGATAAAGGAAGTTGGCATGTGAGGAGCTGAGGTCTTTCTCTGTTGCTGACTGAGTCCTTCCGAAAGCTGGACACAGACACTTTTACTCAGGAACACAGTTACCCGCTAGTCGTCTTTCTATTATCAACCATTGGCTGTCACGAGGAAATGCTCTCATAGCAAAATGCAAAGCGGACTCGTGTGGAATATTGGGCACTCCATGGTCTGTGTTTTGTGAACGTAATTTGTTCTTCCAGGAGTAACGTGGATGGCATCTGGAAGGGACGGGTGCAGACTCAGTGTGGCCGGGCATCTCTGCCTGAAGCAGCAGGCATGAAACTCGATCACTGGGAGGCACACGGTGCCCCTAGAGTGAGCCGAGATCGCACCACTGCACTCCAGCCTGGGCGAGAGCGAGATGCTGTCTAACAACAAAAAAGATTCATCTGGCCGCCCCGAGGGTCTGCCCAGGTGGGCTGGGGCCACAGGACAGTCCCCATTCCCCACCCACAGTCCCTGTGATAGAGAAATGGCATTTGTTCTTGCCTCTCGGTCCAGACCCTAAAAAGACCAGAGAGGTCGGGCTCAGAGCAGGAGGCCAGTGGCCAGTGTTCACAGGCCTCTGTGCCATGGCTCAGCTGTCCTGTCTCTTCTGATGCAGGCCCTTTATGAAAAGGCCTTCCTGGGTTTCAGAACGTGTCAGTGCTGTGACGGTCCCTCTCCTGGGCCTTCTCAAGGCGGGTCTGCATGAGGCCACCATGCGCCCACACTCAGGATGAGTCCACAAAACAGTTCAGCAGGGCTGGGGGCATCCATTGCAAGGAAGCTGCCCCTGCAGGCCCCAGACAGGGCAAAGCAGTGAGGCTCTTCTGGAACATTCTCCTACTCGTGCAGTGATCTCAGTGAGGCCATCCAGATGCCGAACACAGCAGCTCTGTGGCCGACCCCTCTCAGGAACAGGGATATGAGTTGCACCAGAGATCCACTCCCTTCCGGAACACAACAGGATCCAAGGTCCTGCATTCCTCTACCCCACACGGAGACGACAGACGTCCTTCTTCTTTCACCCATGCCCCATTTCCCAATTAGAAGCGCGGTCATGTCTCAGTGGCTGCAAGAATGATGTGTAAGTAACTGACAACTACACCTATTCTTAGGTTCCTGCCACACCAGCAGCTCAGAATTTCACAATGTAATTTCAAGAAGTGTGAAAACTGCTTCTGCTAAATCTGGAAAAAGTTACAAGTGCCTTTTCTGAGGTTTCTGCCCATTTGAAAAGTAAGTTCTCTTGGGAGACAAAGACTTCTGCCCGAGGCCTTGAAGTTAGTTTAAGACAAGCTCGCTGGTGCTGACAGCCTGGGGCTCTCTCACCCCTCTGACTTCTGGAAGGGCAGCGTCCACGGCCCCTGGCCAGAGGTTGCACATAAAGCACAGGCCCACCTCCCGCTCCCTGGGGGCAGCCTGCCAGGTACAGGGTGTGAGCAGCACTGTACCACTGTCTGGGCCCACGTAGTGTGCTGTGGATGTACACCCAGGAGGATGGACACTTGGCCGTCAGGGACACAGGCCCAAGCTACAATAGCTCAAGTTCCAGAAGGCAGATTTCTCTCCCATCATGAGAAGTCCAGAGAACAGTGGTTGCTGTTTCAGAGGCACAGAGCAGCAGGACCGAAGTCCCTCTGGCTCCCTGGCCACTCCCTCCTGGTGCTATGATGGAGGTTGCTGCTCCAGCCATCACACCTTCCAGGCAAAAGGAGAAAGTAGTAGTGGTCAGAAGAGCATCTGCCCCTGGCAGCCCTTTACAGTCAGCCCTTTAAAGAGCCTTCCCTTTTAGGAGCTTTCCTGGAGTCTCCTTTTCCATCCCACTCCTCACCTCCCTCCCTGCTAAGGGGGGAAAAAAAAAAATAGCCTCCTTGCGAGCTGGAGGGAATGCGGTCCTGGGCCACCCTGCCTGAGAGAGAGCCTGCGAAATGTCCTTTGCAGCTGAGGACACAGCCCCACCTCCACCCCATCCGGCAACAAAGGGACCAACGTGAAGAAAGAGAGGAAGGGCGGATTGGGGCAGGTTACCAGAAATCGCTGTTGCAAAGTCCACGTCCCCTGTGGAAAGTGCCAGCATGGCCCACCTGTACCCTGGGGCTTGAAGGCTGCCCCTCATCCCAGCTGGGGCTCTCCATCACATGCCCGTGACTACTGCCTGGCGAGGGCTCCCTGGCAGCCCAGCTCCCTAGGGCCCTGGGCCCGCTGTGCCCCTGTCTGTGCCGGCCAAGGACGGGCAGCAGGGTCAAAGATAGGACGTGACCCCTGCCCATGAAGGCTCAATCCAGGAGACAGAGCCAAGGTCACACAGAGGACAAAGCGTGTGGGACCCCTTGGCACCCCATCCTTCCCAGCAGCTCATCCTGTGAGTCTCCCACACCGCATGTACCCTTCCGAGGGCACAGGGTGAGCTGCCCGTGTCCACCCGACATGAGAGGCTGGCAGTGGGTCTGGGGGCAGCAGGCCTCAGCAGAGGTCTCACATCACCAACATTTGAGGCATCATCTGCCCAAGGTGTGTATCACCCATTTCCAAGGAGCATGTGGAGCCGCAGCGCCCTGGCCGAATCCAGCTGTGGCCGGGTCTGTGCCCAGCGTGGTGTGGGCCCTTAAGAGCTGATCGCCCGGAGCCATGATCCGTCCACCTTGTGCACACTTGAACTTGTACTTCAATCTGTAAGCCCTGCCCCAGGGACCTGCCCCCGGCAGTGCATGTCACCGGAATGTCCTCCCACTCGGGTCCCACCTGCTCTCCCTGCTGACGCCCTGGGAGGGGCACTGAGGGGCTCCATGAAGGAGGCTGGGGAAGGGTGGGGCTTGGCTGGGGCCTGGCTGGGGCTGGCTGGGGCTGGCTGGACGCTCACCAGAGCGAGGCAGGAGCCAGGAATGAGCACCCCGCCTCTCCGAGAAGCCTTCAGGGCACAGGAACCCATGATGTTCATGAGGCTCAGCCCATGTCAGGCCCCACAACAGTTCGCGAAGGGCTGTTTTCCATCCCTGCCCAGACTTCAGAACGCGAACTGCTCAGCCCCATGGGACCAACCTGGGTGGGGCGGACACGGGCCGCCCAGCCCCTCCTGCTGGGTGTGCCACCTGCTTCCTTGCAGCTGACCAGAGTCACTTCCAACCAGCCTGTCTCCCTATCACCCCTTCTCCCAGCTGCCCAGAGCTGTCCTGGTGACAGTGGGTGACCTCAGGCAGTGGTGCCCATGGGCTGTGGTGCCCATGGGCTGGGTTAGTGGTGCCCATGGGCTGGGTCCTCCCCATGCCGTGGGGAAGCAGTGGTGCCCATGGGCTGGGTCCTCCCCGTGCCTCACGGAGCCACATCCTCTTGGGCCCCAGTGCCAGAACCACCTTTCAGAAACCTTGAGGATGGGCCCCCGCCTCTGCATGCAACCCTGAGCCCCCACCCCACAGTCCTGGCCTCCCAAGGTGACCCCCTCCCTCCCTGCCAGGCTGGTGGCCCAGATCCATGATGAGCTGCTGTTTGAAGTGGAAGATCCGCAGATCCCGGAGTGTGCAGGTAGCCTGGGGCGTCCCGGAGCGTGCAGGTAGCCCTGGGGCGTCCCGGAGCGTGCAGGTAGCCTGGGGCGCCCCGGAGCGTGCAGGTAGCCTGGGGCGTCCCGGAGCGTGCAGGTAGCCCTGGGGCGTCCCGGAGTGTGCAGGTAGTCCTGGGGCAACACAGCGTTGCTTGGTCTTCACGAACAGCTAAGAGGAGGCTCCATGCTCCATGGGCCCAGCCCAGGAAAGCCCCCGGGCTGCTGCCACCTCATGTTGCTGTGTCACCTTGGTCCTGGCAGGCAGAGGGGCCAGCCTGGGTTTGGGGGCCCTTGAAAGGCCCACGTGGGCTCCGCCCCCGAGCGCGCCAGGTGTTCCAGCTGACGGGAGCTCCGGAGAGCAGCTGCAGACACCCAAGGCTGCTTTGTCTGCGGCCCGAGGCCTCTGTGTCTTGGGGTCTAGAAAGATGGGGAGTGGGCACTGGGGCCACCCAGGTGACTGGGGCCAGGCTACGGAGCGGGCAGCAGGTGTTCTTGTTGGGGTGTTGGAGTCACGGAGGCCCCGCAGGCTCAGCACAGACTTCAGGCCTGGGTCCCATCCTGTCCCACAGGCCACCCCCTCTGCTGAGCCCATAGATGAGTGAGCTCAGGCAGAGTCACCCCCAGCGGTCAGGCCGAGGGGTTCTTTCTGTCTCCCTTGGGAGGGCCAGGACCTCCCCACAACACCCAGCCACTGGTCCCATGGAGGCTCCCATTCTGGCCTCACAGGGGAGAGGTGAGGGCAGGTGCCCACGTGGACCTGTGCCCCCAGTTCTCCAGGCCAGGTCTGTAAATGGCCAGGGCAGCTTCACGCGTTGGGAGAAGAGGCACGGGAGCATCAGGGCTGGAAGCTTCGGGCACCAACTGTCGAGTGGTGGTCACCATGCCCTCCTAGCCCCACCCTCTCCAGGTCTTACCCTTAGGGGTGTGAGGCTCCCATCCCTGGTGCCCACCCAGCCCACTCCAGCCTAAAGCAGGGCTCTGCCACTTGAAAACTATGTCCAGCCACTCATTTGAAAACACACCCATCTTACGTGACCATTTAACAAGTATAACGTGTGCTCAGCTGTAGGTTAAAAAAGGAAAGAAAACATTCCCAAACGGCCTTGTTCCCGGGAGCAGCTTCCTCCAGCTGGCCTGGCAGCTCCTGAGGCAGGCTGCAGCCTGTGCACTGCTCTCTCAAGAGCACTCAGGGCCAGGGACTGCAGGGCCTGGGGAACCGGGGCTTGGGCAGGGCCTGCACCATCCCTGAAGGGCTGGGGGTCAGGTCGTGTCTCCCAGGCGGCGTGTAGTGCCCAGCATCTCTGCCCTGCCTGCCCTCCCGAGGCCCCACAGGGAGCACTCCAACTGAGTGCCAGCTCAGCCCCACGCTTGCTGCCCCTCTCTGAGCAGCAGTTGCTTGGGATCACGCACTCAGTCAACAGCACCACCCCACCAGGCACAGAGGAGGGGCCCATTCTCTGCACACTCGGGGTAGCCCCAGCCAGCATGAGGAGCAACGGTCCAGCTTGGACTGCATCGGCTCTCCAGCCTTGTCCCCATAAGAAGGTCCCCAGGGCGGCCCAGGTCCTTCTGCAGGGCTCCCCACCGTGCACATGGGCCGTATGCCCACCTGCTGGCCGACAGCTCCCTGCAGACAGTGACCGGCTCCTGCACAGAAGACACTGAGGGCCACAGAGCTCAGGTGGCCACTGGCCTTGGCTCAGGACACACCAGGGAGGCCCTGGCTCTTCTGGGGCCAGCAGGGCTGGAAATTGAGGTGGTGCCTACCACAGCTTAGGGCTCCTGCCACCATCTTTGCATTGCGGTGTCACACAGCACAAAAGGACTGAACGAATGTTTATCCAGGGGCTCAAGGATTCAGAGCGAGCCCTGAGAAAGCCTGAGCTTGCGGGTCCTGCCCCCGCCCCCACCCCCTGCCCAGGCCTTCCTTTTCTCAGGGCCCTGAGCCCCACTGCTGCATGGTGATCCAAGCCCCCACAATGGGGCCAGTCTGCCCGTGGTACAAAGCCACTGTTTCCTCAAACTTCACCCGGCAGTAGTGGGGATTGGGGGTTCTTGTGTGCCTGGTGGCTCTGGCTGGTGGGGTTCCCTGTGCCTCCCCCCTCCTCCCAGCCCCAGAGGCTCTGGAACAGAGCTGGCATGACGCCTGCCCCACCCCACGGCCCCCAGCTGGGGTGAGCTGAGCCGGAGGGGTAGGGGTGAGGGCCAGTGCAGTGTGGCGGGCCAGGCCAGGAGGAGGGGATGCAGCGAGGGCCAAGGGGCCTGCGAGAGGCATCCTGGACTGTAGACGGGGCCGAGGGAGCTGGACCCAGCCTCAGGGGCCGGGCACTCGGGCTGCTTGTGGGCATTAAGGTCCCACAGCTGGTTTGGGTGACCGAGTGGATACAGGAAAAACAAGGGGGCTCGGGGGTCGGGGCAGGACTTGGGCCTGGAAGTTCTCTTGTCTTGGGCTCCCAGGCCCCAAGGCCAAGGGACCAGCAGGGCCTCCTCTCTCTCCCGCACTCTAGCTCTCGTCAGGAGGACCATGGAGTCCTTGGAACAGGTGCAGGCGTTGGAGCTGCAGCTTCAGGTGAGGGGACACCCAACCCTGCCCAGTCTCACGGAGCCCAGGGTGAGGGGAGGCCAGCACCCCCAGGGCAGAAGAGCCAGGCCAAAGGGTGCAGCCCCAGCCCTGAGATGGCCCTGGCCCAGAGATGGCCACTCCACAGCAGGCACAGAAGTGGAGGCTGGATGGTCCCTGAAGCTGGGAAGCCCCACCCGACTCTGCTCACTTCAGTGAACAGGGACAGCAGGCGGGGCTGGACCCCTCCCTCCCTGTCAAGAGCCGTGGAGGCTTGGTCCACTCAGGGTCAGGGACCCCGGGGAGGGCTCTCCTGGCCTCTAGGAACCACCGATCCTCTCGGGGGCAGGACCCTGAGGGGCAAGCACACCCAGGACACACGCACCCGTCCAAGGGCACCTTGTCTGCCGGCCGCAGCCTACCCACTGGCACAGAGGCCCTGGCAGGTGGGGGAACCTCCGCCAAGATCGAGGTGTCGTGACTGGGAGGTGGATGTGGCAAACGCCTGTTACTGGGCGAGTGTGGTGAGTGTGCACGTGTATGCACACGTGTGCGTGTGGCTGATCACGTGTCTGGATGTGTGCACCTGTGTGCTGTAGGCCCTGTCCCCCTGCGTGGGGTCTGGGAGGTGGCTGGGGATGGCCGGCCCAGGCCTCAGGCTCACCTCTGGCTGCCATCTGCAGGTACCCCTCAAGGTGAGCCTGAGTGCCGGCCACTCATGGGGACACCTGCTGCCACTGCAGGAGGCCTGGGGCCCTCCACTAGGCCCATGTCGCACTGAGTCTCCCAGCAACAGCCTGGCTACCCCCGGGTCCCCTGTCAGCAGCCACCCCCCGCCCCCGCATTTTTCGCCTTCATTTTGTCTGTAGCCCCAGGCAACAGTGGGAGGAGAGAACTGGTTTCCAGCAGTCCATTGTGTGGCCTTCCCCAAGGTCACCAGCTCTGTGTGCCCCAGGACGCATTAACCCTTTGGGGCTGGGGTGGCCTGTCATCCCCTGGAGTAAATGCCTGTGCAAAGCCCTCCTCATCCTGTCTGAGTGAATTCTTCCTGTGCGTGGGAAATGTCGCGTCCACAACCCCCAGCCACTTGGCCGGGGCAGGGCTGAGTGCCCCAAAATGGGAGTGACCCAGGCTGGGTCTGGGCCAGACACTCCAGAGAGGGTAGGCACTCCTGGTTCTCTCCCCCACGGATTCCAGGGGAAGGGCTCCCTCGTGGCTCAGCAGCTGCTCACCCCTGGCAGGTGTCCAAGAAGCCACCAGCTCTGACGCCCTGTGGTGTCCCCCCACTGCTGGCTTCCTTTGCTTCAGGAAGCCATGGCCCAGGGCGTGCACCGTCCTCCCAGGCCAGCCCAGCGTGCAGCCCTGTACTGAGACGGAGAGAACGCAGTCTCCCCGCAGGCACTGAGGCCCCTGGAGCTTGTGTTCCTGACTGATGCGTCAGGAGGACCAGAGGAGCCCCTCTATGAGAAGGCCTGCCCACCCACTGCAGGCCTCCGCCATGGACACGGCCTGGGGGCCACCGAGGACCTGTGGGCGTCTGGGGTCACATGCTCTCAGGACACAAGGTCTCTCCCATGAGCCTCCTGCAGGCTGGTGACCAGTGGCTGCAAACAGGCTGGCTCCCGCCAGCCAGCCAGTGCTCCAAGCAGCCCCTCCAGACTCTTCCCATCCCACGTGCCCCCTGCCTTCCCTCATGCACAGTGGCCTCGCTTGCCATCCCAGCAAGACACCTGTGACTCGCCTCCACCTCATAGCGGGCTGCGACAGAGGCACCAACACGATCCCCCCTTTGCACGTGGGGAAACTGAGGCACCAAAAGGTCACAGGGCTCAAAACTGCGCCAGCCAGGATTTCAGCTGCATCCTCACCCTGTACCATGGCTCCCTGTCTCTGTGGTGGCCCCTGGAAATGTGCTCCTGGGGTCCTGCTTTCAGGCCACCCCCGCCCCGGGTGCCTCAGCCCCTTCCATGTACTTCCTTACCAACGTCTGGGTCTGGGCTCCAAGAGCATCCCTTAAAGTGGGGCACAGGGCCCCCTGCACCCTTCAGGGTTGTCACCTCTGTGGGCGCCACCCACAGAGCGGCCAGCACTCAGGCTCACCATCAAGGTGCTGGCTGCGCGTGGGGATACCTGGTGCCACTGCAGGAGGCCAGCCGGGGTGAGTATATGGGGTGCAGATGGCGCTGTGGGTTTAAGCAGTGGCCCCCCCCCACCACGTGCACCACCCTGCCCTCTTTCAAATGGCGGCTGTGTCACCCGCGCAGCTTGCCTGTGCCCACTGAACATGGGTCATCTTTTCTGGGTGACCTGGGTCATCACAATAAACTGGCCGGGACCTCGCTGCTGTGGTCTGTGGGTGCTGGAAGTCCGTTCCTTCTTCCCTTCAATTATGCAGCATTTGCCTGACACCATGGGTGGCGCTGGGGAGGCAGGGACAGCTGGGTCCAGATCACAGTCCTGCTGCTGTGCCACGCCAGCCTCGCCCCTCTTCGTGCTTCCTGCCCCCTGGGGGGAGCCAGGTGCCCATCCTGTGTCTCAAGGAAGCATTTGGTTTCTCCCCAGGAAGAGGACACCCACTCTGGCCGAGACAGCCTGGTTTTCTCCCGGCATCAAAAACATTTTCACCGCCTCCCATGTGTGTGGGTCGTGGGTGACCGAGCCTGTCCCCAGTGTGGTGGGACGTCCCAGTGATCCAGGGAGCTGCCTGTAACCACTGCTGGGCCCTCCTGCCAGCGCGGTGCTGCCCCTGCCTCCATTCCCTGGGCAGCACTCTGAGCCCCACCAGGCCCCGCCAGGCCTTGATGTACCCACTGCACCCAGGCCTCCGTCCTGCCGCAGTTTCAGTGGGATGTCCCAGATGGGCTTTGCTGTTGGTTACCTGAGCCCAGGCCAAGGCTGCCTAGCCCTCCAGGCTGAGGGGCAGCCCTGCCCCTGCCCTTGGAAAGATACTCGCAGCTTGGGGTTCCTCCAGGGTCCTGGCTGGAGGGCCTGGCAGCACGGGTTGGGAAGGTGGAGAAGGCAGAAGCCGGGCCAAGGAAACCCCTACCAGGAAAGCGGCCCAGGGGACCGGGCTATGGAGCTGGGGGACCCCTAGACTCCAGGAGTCCCTCTGCCAACAAGACTGGCATCCTGACAGGGATCTGCCAGGGCAGGGGTCTGTGTCCACCCCATGTCTGTCTGCAAGACCCCCCCCAACACCCTGCTCCCCACCACAGCCCTGAGCTGCAGCACCCTCGGCCTGGACCCCAGACCTGGCATCCTCCCTCACAGACACTGGGGGTCCACCCCCATCCTGGTGGGCTCTAATGCCCACTCACCTCACACCCTCCCTCAGCACCACTGTTCCTCCAAGGGGCCAGGCAGGTGCTGGGGCTGCCAGGGCAAGGATGGGCATAACCACGAGAACTGGGAACCTCAGACCCAGGAGGACAGGGCAGCAGGGCCTGGTGGGCCTGGCCGGGAGTCCCACTGGGGTGGCAAGGATGGTGTGGGGGCAGGGGCTGGGGGCCAAGCTCTCTGCCAAGAGTTAAGAGTGCCCAGGGCCAAGCACAGAGCTGGGGGAGGGCAGAGCCCAGGAGCTGCTCAGGGGGATCCCGGGCCTGAGAGTGAATGGGCAGAGCCCACCCGGCTGGGTGCCTGCTGGGGGAGGGGCCTCAGCCCATGAGGCCACCAAGCCTCTCTGCCCCACCTCCCAGATTACACTCCCTCCAGGGGGCAGTGCTGGCTGCAGGGCAGCCTGGCCAGGTGTAGGGGAGCCAAGGTGAGGAAAGGGGGTGGCCAGGGGAGAAGGGGGAGGCGGCAGGGGCCAAACTGGGGCACCAAGGGTGGGGGCCCACATCCCTGAAAGCCAGCCCTGCCACACAGTGGGCAGGAGGCGCCTCAAGAGAGCACGGGAGCCAGGTGCCTTCAACTCTGGTTTTATTGAAAAACAGCAGCATTGGGGGCCATCCAGGGGAGGGGCGCACACCCACCCCGGGCCCCCGCAGCCCCTCTCCTCAGAACGCGCTTGCCCCCACCCTGGGGGCTGTTTTGGCACATCTGGGGCCTCAGAACAATCTGCCCCCGCCGTGGGCTCACAGTACAGTTTCGGGAACAAACAGCAGCAGGTGAACCCCACCCCCTGCGCTCCCCAAGCCTGGCCTCCCTGGACCTGCCCTGGAGCTGCCCAGGCCGTCCACCGAGGCCCTGCCCCACTGAGGGGCAAGAGGGGCCAGGGAGGCTCTGCCCAGGGCCGGGGGCCCAGCAGGGAATTGGTGGGTAGGACCTGCTTCCCCGGGCACTGCCAGCTCACCACCGCCGGGTACCTGCACAGCCACATATATGCAAGTACACACACAGGCACTCACACACGTGCATGCTCATGCAACACACATATACACTACATGTACACCTCACATGTACATCCATACACGTGCATGCCCACACATACACCAGCACACGCAAGGACTCACGCATACACGCCCACGCATACACAAGTACACATACACCATACGCATATGTACACATGCATCCATTCATACACATGTGCCCCCTCAGAGAAGTACACAGGAACATGTGCATCACACATGTATACGTGCTCATGCATACACATGGACACTCATACACGTGCATGCTCATGCATACCCGACACAAACACATGTACACTTACACATGCACACACACCCACACACGTATATCATACACGTGCTCACGCAGGTATGCAAGAACTCATGCACATGTACACCTGTACACACGTGTGCACTGACATGCACACATGCATGCTCACACGTGTACATGCTTATGCACATACACAACATGCACTCATACATGTGCACACGCTCACACATGCACACCTATACACATGCACACATGTTCACACTACACATATCAAGAACCCACTTGCACACACACATACACACATGCTCAAACACGTGCACATGCACACACAGGTACACCCCTCCTTTAAAATGGTTAATTATTGCTGTTTTAAAAAAAAAAA